TAACATAATAAATTGTGGGACAACTTCGATAACGAATGAAAATATACTTCTTATCACGAAATCTTTTGGTAACCATATTACCGAATAAAATATCCGAGACAGGAGATTGATTGGGACTTAAGTCTTTACGAGCTGGTGAAGTGTCAAGTTTAGGCCATGCGGAAGTACCCGTGAATCCAAACGCTCCCGATGGGGTACCTTAAGCGGGATAGTGTTGATCTATTAGAACAACTGCAAGCATTTTGGAAAATCCCAAAAATATAATCCCCATCCCCACATGATATCAATTGGAATTTATTCTTGTGTTGGTACTGTTGCAACGACAAGCTTTTTATTCCACTTCAGATAAAACGTAAGATCTAATATCATGAACATAAATATGACTCATAGTTTTATGGCTCTAAAGCGTAGGGTATGCATGACTTGAAATTAGATCACGTCATATTAAGGTCACTGTGCTTCGAAGTTGATGCCTGTTCAGTTGACAACTTGGGAAGAAGCGCGGAGTGAACATTAGGTAATACACCACCTTGAGAGATCGTGACATCGGAAAGAAGCACACTCAGTTCATCGTCGTTCCGTATAGCTAATTGCAAATGTCGGGGATTGATTCGGCTCTTATTGTTGTCGCGTGCCGCATTTCCAGCCAGTTGCAAAACTTCAGCAGCTAAGTATTCTAGCACTGCTGCAAGATACACCGGAGCACCAGCACCAATCCGATCAGCGTAGTTCCCTTTACGAAGCAAACGATGAATACGACAAACCGGAAAGTTCAATCCAGCCCTGTTGGATCTCGATTTAGCTTTTTTGGAGGTCTTCTTGTCCTTCTTCTGATCTGACATTTGAAGCCAATTGAGACAGAAATAAAATCGACCGAACACAGTAAACCGATCTGATATAATGACACAAGACTGGTAATAGCTTGCTATTTAAAGATTTAATGGTGGCGCCAAATCGAATTTCGTCTATCGCAGACGATTTTTTGGCCCTTCTGCTTTTTTCTTCCTTCCTGGATACTCCTCTCTTGTCGTACGTGACATAATGAAAGTCTGAGTGCGCGCCATTTACAACACTCAAATTTGATTCTGTTTCCCGCCTTTTCCTGCCTTATACGTGACAACACGAAGTACAATTTCTTTGTTAAGAAAAGATATAGCTTCATCTATTTCATGCGAATGAATCCCAAAGATCCGCTTTGAAGCGCAAAAATATCCTCACAGTTCGATTGCACGTATCAATCGGGATTGCAATCCCTCTTAGAGTAAGAAATGAGTCATTCGACAATCATGTACTACGAGTTTAGTCTGGGAAATCTCACAGCTGGAATTACGG